AGTCTATGCAAGCACTGGGGAAAAGTTAATGAAATTCTGCTGCATGACTAGTGAAATTGCTGTGAAGTGGGTAAAGAGATGAGAAGGGATTCTGAGGGTCCAGTCAGGGAGAAGCAATACAAATTTGGGGTTGTCAGTACACTTGTGCTAGCTGGAGCCCCACACCTCCATTTTTCTACTGGATGCTGAAAAGACAGCCCAGGACAGAAGCAGGGTCCATTGCTCATTGGTGTTTTCCTTGTGCTTTCTGTTTGGTTTGTCCTGGGGGACTGGGAAAAATTGAGTTAACATCTTGGGCCTCCTCAAGTTCCGATGCCTCAAGATTTGTTAGCAAAACTGAGACCTGAAATTTTCCATATAGAAGAATGAAGCTGAGCTCAAGCACTAGCATCCCATACAGATGCTACTGCCTGTCAGTTCGTGTTCCAGCTGCTCCACTTCCCAGCCAGCTCCCTGCCTTTGGCCTGGGGAAGCAGTAGAGGATGGCCCAAAACCTTGGGAACCTCTACCCATGTGGGAGACCCAGAAGAAGCTCCTGGCTCCCGGCTTCTGGCTTCAGACCAGGCCAGCCCTGACTGTTATAGCCACTTGGGGAGTGAACCAGCAGATGGAATATGTTTATACATAAATCTTCAAATAAAAATAAGCAAATCTTTAACAAATTTTTAAAAAATATGTCAAATCTTCGAAGCATGGGACTTGAACCAGCCAAGTGAGCATAACATAGACCACGTCTCACACATCGACTTTTTTGTTCCTCTTTCTTACTCCAGACGAGTGGATAGAGGATGCTAAAATTCCCACAGCCCTGTGATCCCCATCATACACTTGCTTCATCTCCTCAACCCTGCAGGGTGAAAAAGTTTTCTGACTCTCTGGCCCCCAGGTTCCCAAACCCTAGAAATTGGAGACCCGCTTGCAAGTCAATGATCACATGCTTGGAAGTTGAAACAATTACCCCACAAAGAAAAATTCACACACAGCAAAAAGATACAGCTTTGCTCCTGAGAATGCCAGCTGAAATTCCCAGGTCATCAGCAGATGTCTAAAAAGACATCCAACGCCCCTCCACCTTTTTAGGCATAACACTTCTGAAAATGAACTGAAGCTCTGAGTTTCTTCACACTGCAGCCCACTCTCCAAACCCATCAGCCAGGCCACTTTCTACTGCCATAAGTGAGACAGTGTGAGGTCAGGCCACCCAGGTCACTGGAAATGGAGTCAGGAAGGTATGTTGAGGAATCTCCAACATTTCCCCCTACCTCCATGCAGCCCTAGCATCATTGTAAGGACCAAGCCATGCCATCCTGACACGGACGCACTGCTCCTCCCACAGCATTTGGAAAGACTGCTTATTGGCAGGGCACACTTCCAATTTTCCCTAGATAGGGCTAAAATGAGACACTCCTCCCTGGAATGAAACATTGGTAAAAATGGGCTTAATTCATTTTTAGCAACTCAGTAGTATGTGTGTGTGAGAGAGAGAGAGAGATTAAATCACATCTTTGATCCCGAAAACCATACTGCCTGATTCAGCTTTGATATCACCTTGGCACCGCAGTCTAGCTGCTTCTAGATTAGCCAAGAATTCCCAACGACTGACTGTCGGGTCCCAGGCCTAAAGGGCAAAGCAATGAAAACAGCCCCCCTTCTCAGTTTTCCTCAACATCATTACTTCATGCTGGCCCCCTCTGTGCATCAGATTTTTCATTCAAGTTGAACAAAGACACAGAGGCAATCAACTTTAAAAAGTGCCCCTGGGTGCCAGGATACATCTTTTGCCAAATGCTCCCTGATTGCTGATTCTGCACTGGTATTTGGGTAGAATAACATGTCCATGCTCTGGGAGGTCATGATGCAATAGGGGGTGAGAGGTGAGCAGGCACCTGTGGCAGGCTGAGCACATTGTGAAGGGGGAGGTGACAGTCTGGTACTCACACCTGCTGGCAATAGGGCAGTCAGACAAGCTTTCCTTGACCACATGACAACAAAACTCACTCCACAAAGGTACCAGTGGAGAGAAGAGTGCTTTGCGCAAAGATAATATGTGAAACTACTGAAAAATGGAGACAGAAGAGGCAAGTATGAGCCCATTGGTTGCCAGGGTCCTGGACTGCAGCTCAGCACATCGGGGAACTTGTGAGGGCAGGGCAAGGGTGAGGTGAGCAAGTCTGTCAAAGGTACAAGCAAGCATTGTAGCCTCATATTCCAGATGGGAGTGCTGCTTTGAAAACTGCCTCCTCTTCTGTTTCCCAACCAACTTCCTGCTAACTTGCCTGGGAGGGCAGTGGGTGGCTGTTCCAGGTCCTTGCGTCCCTGCTACCTACAGTCGAAACCCAAATGGAGCTCCTATCTCTCCTGCTTTTGGTCTGGCCTAGCCCTGGCTGTGACAGCCATTTGGGAAGTAAACCAGAGTATAGAAAATATCTTTCTACCTCTCCATCTCTCCCTCTCTGTGTGTCACTCTGCCTTTCAAAGAAAAGAGATAGAGAGAGGGCCTGGCATGGTAGCCTAGTGGCTAAAGTCCTCAACTTGCACCTGCACGGATCCCATATGAGTGCCTCTTTGTGATCTGGCTACTCCACTTCCCATCCAACTCCCTGTGTGTGGCCTGGGAAAGAGGAACATGGTCCAAAGCCTTGGGACCCTGCACCCGTGTGGGAGACCCAGAAGAACCTCCTGGCTCCTGGCCTTGGATTAGTTCAGCTCCAGCTTTTGCAGCCACTTGGGGAATGAACCAGTGGATGGAAGATCTTTGTTTGTCCTTCTCTCTGTATATCTGGCTTTTTTTTTCTTTTTCTTTTCTTTAAGAAATCTTTTTCTTTTTTCAAATGACAATGAGGTACTCAGAAGAGACAAGTGCTTCCCCCAGCTTGAAAGCCTGAACACATCCCAGAACAGTTCCCGTCCATGGTGTTTAGATAGGGATGCTTGAGCTGGAGTGTGAGCAGTTAAAAGGGTGGGTGCAGATGTGTTTGGAGTAATTTGTGATTCATATTTACTGATAATCCAGGTCTTATTTGAGGTTTGTCATGTGCTTAGTACTCATTTCGAAAGCTCTGCTTGCTCATCAATATTTTAGTGTATATTGTTCAAAATCCTCTTCTCTCCCTTCCAATGTAGCTTGAAAATTTTCTTTTCCTTAAGAACACAGTCAAAAGGGAGATGCTGCGCCAAGTGCCATCCATGGCTGCCTTGTTATTAAGTCCTTTGTGTCACCAACTGGTCCCCATGGAAGAGCTCCCAACTCCCCCACAAACCATTTGCTAGGCAAGGTTTGGGGAGGATGCAGTCAGCTCTGGCATTGACCCTGCCCCAGGACACACTCAAACTCAGCAGAGCTGAGAAATACTGCTGCAAAAGAAATGAAAATTCTTGGCTCTGCCTGCTGGCATTTAGGAGGAGAGAGTGACAGGGTAGAGCAGGTTGAACAAGAAGACATGGATGGCGAGGAAGTAGGGGGAAAAGGAAGAGAGGGCGACAGACACAGAAGGTGTCTAAGAAGACACCTAGAGAGACTGAGATGGACAGGGGCAGATGAAGGAAAATGTCAGAGACAGGGAAGGAGAGCAGAAGAAAAGACAGTGGGTGGGCAGAGAAAGAGGGAAGAAGAAGCACACCCTGGCAAGTCCTAAGGCTCTTTAGAAGCTGCTCAGGGGAGTTGGGGAAAGGGTTAGCTGAGAAACAGTGGGGCTGTGGGAGCACCTGGATGCTGAGAGCCAATGGCAAAGACAAAGGAGGAGGACAGCCCATCACTCAGGATGCTGACTGCTCCTGCCCCACTCTCTCTCCCACACTTGCCAAGCCCGCTCCACACCAGCCCCACAGCCTGTCCCCTCTCTGTGACAGCTCTCCCTTCCCAAAGTCAGGCTGTGGAAGCAGTGTCAGAGACAGGAATTCTGAGAGCTAGATGGGGCCCCAAGCTCTGCAGACACAAATTGGGGGAGGTGGGAAGGGAGGCAGGCAGGCAGGAAGGCAGGCAGGCAAGGGGAAGGAACGCACAAGCACAGGGCTCAAAGGGCTAGGGGCAGGTGCACAGATCACAATTGAGGAGGGCCCTGGGGTTTCTGTGTATCACTCATTCATCCTCTATGCTTTCACCCAGACAGAGGGGTAGGGAAAAGCTGTCCGTGCCTTTAGCCTCCTTCTTGCCTCCTCTGGGACCTGAAACTGCCAGCTTGAGAATACCCTTCAGCTCCACCTAAACTCTCTCAGGTCTTTTTCTCTCAGAAAAAAAAAAAAATCATACGGTTTTCCTGTGCAGACCCAGCTTGGCTCCAGGCTAAATGCAGGCTAAAAGCAAAGCTGTTGGAGGGGGCAGGGACAGCAAACCGCCTGCCTGTACTCTTCCTGCTGGAGTTAGAGCCTGGTCAGACACCCTGCCTCTTCTGAGTGGTAGCAGTGGCAATAGCAGCAGAAGCAGGCGGCGGCAGTAGCCCAGATTCCTCTCCGGCACACTCACGGCTACTGCTCTGAACCCAACTCCAGCAGCTGGCAACTGTGCCTTTAAATTGCTGCTTTTGGAGGGTGCATGGCGTGGGGGGGGGGTAGTGAAGGGAGGTGGGAGGGAGGGAAACATCTTCTATCAGTCTCCCTCCTCCCTCCCCTTCAAGGCTCTCCAGGGTTTGGAGAGTGCCGCCCAAAGAGAATCTTTGCTGGCACCCTGGCCAGCAGGCTGAGGGCCGCCAGTGCCCAAGGCGAGTCCAGGCGGGAGCCAGTGGATCGTCTGTATCAGGATCATCTCCAACAGAATAGTTCTGGCCCTGTGACTGATAAAACAGGGCAAGAGAAGAGGCAGAAGAGGAGAGGGAGAAAGAGAGAGAAAGAGAGAGAAAGAGAGAGAGAGAGAGAGAGAGAGAGAGAGAGAGAAAGAGAGAGAACAACTCCTAGCCCAGCCCCACGGGCTCCCTGCAAGCAGCCCAAGTTGGAGGAAGGCACCGACCTTTGGGCGTTCCCACAGGGATATCCCCTCTTACCTTGGCAGCCAGGCTGAAAGGGCGCCAAGGTGCCCTGCGGAATGACAACTCTCCTTCCTGCAGCCCTCTCCTTCCTTCTCCTCTGGATCCTGCCAGGGCAGGTCCTCCTCAGGTGAGCTGAGTCGGGGTAAGAAGGAGGTGCATGCCAACCCTGTCGGGGGGAGGGGGTGGCCAGGACAGCTGGCAAATGCCTTCAAGTTTGCAAAAAGTCTGTGGTCTGAAGGGTTCCAGAGGGAGGATACCTGAAGCCCCAGTCAGGACCCCGGAGCTGTCCTGAGCTCTCAAGGTTCTGGCACAGGTGGGCAGGCTTCTGCATGAGTGGGAGTTTCCTGGGTCTGGGTAGAGGGTGGGTCGCTAATCCAAGCCCTAGAATGGAGACCACCTGGCCTGCCATTCAGTCCTGTCTCCCTAACAAGCTGGGCCACACACTCTTTTCAGATTCCAAAACATCACAGTGACTTCTGTCCCAGCCGCCTGCACAAAGGGCATCAGGTACCAGGAATCTGCCCCCAAGGACACAGAACAATGAAAAACTGGGTAGATCAACCCTTAACCTCTCTACAGTTACCCTTGCCCATGCATACGTGGCTTCTCATTGTCCCTCTAGGGGAACCAAGTAACACTAAGTCACTGGGCTTGCAGACAAGAAAATGCCCTCCCCCGGCCCCCTGAGAGTGCCCTGCTGTTAGTAGATTAGAAGCCAGCCCAGGTTGACAGCATGAGCCTAGCAAGAAAGATGGCCATGCTTTGTGCTGAACTGGTCCTAACATGAGTGCCTCCCAAGGTGCAGGGAGCAAGTGCTGCAATTCAAGCCTCCTTTCTCCTCCTAATCCAAACAGCACCTTGGAGCTTCCTCCTCAGTAAAACCTCCTGCCCCAGGGATCAGATGTGGAGTAGGGCAGGAAACTCCTTCAGGGTGAAAAGCAGCTCAGAATGGAAAGAAAACTCAGAGAATTGACAAGAGAGCTCTGGGCAGAAAAGGGCACCCTACCAGAGAGGAGGCTTGCCCCAAGGCCCCCACTCCAGGTTCCAGTGGCTGCATTCCCACTTGGGCTTAGGAACTATGGGTAACCAGAGAAAGATGGGCCCTCGAAGTTTTAAGTCCAAGTCTTTTGCTTTGATTCATTGTAATTAAGGCCTCAAGAAGTGGGGGTGGGGGTGGGGAAGTGATCGATCCATGGTCATACAGGTACTCACTAAGTCAGCATTCACCCCTCACCACACAGTCTTATCTGGGAAGGATTGTCAGCTCTAGCTCATCCTGAGTTCAACCAGTATATCAGACTTTCCAGGAATGAAAGGGAGGAGGAGAGAGGCTGTATAAAGTGACTGGTTTTCAGGCTCTCAGGCAAAGCAGCCCCAGAAAAGCAGGCACTATTAGGGCTTGAGGCCCAAGACAGCTGAGCCTGGAGTCAATGACAGGGTCCTAAGACTGGGATGAGTGGAGGAGGTAACTTGAAAATGGGGCTGAGAATGGTGGGGAAGGTCCAGTTGCTCCATGCGGCCTCATAGCAGGCAGGTGGCAGGTAGCCAACAGCTGCACCAGCCAGAGCAGTAACTGCCTAGCATGGACATCCTGCTGTGGGGAAGCCACAGACTTCTGCTTGCTCCAGCACCAATCCAACCTCCTTGGATTTGCAGAGTCTGCATAGGCCACCTGCTTTGGCTGGCCCTGCTGGAAGTGAGAGTAAAGCAGAGTGGCCTCTGACTGCAAGGAAAGGACCTCTTCCCAGTTGGAACATTTGGAAAGGCATGGATTTGGGAGGTGGGCAAGAGGTTACCACAGATTTTCTCCCATCCTGGTTCCTTAATAGCTCGCCTTGAGCTGTCAGCATCCTGGTGTCACAGCACAGACTCAGCTTTGAAATCAAGAACTCGGGTTTGAGTCTAGGCTTTGAAACATACTAGCCATATGATCATGAAGAATCCACCTCAGTGATCTGCTGTCAACCCTCTGCGTCTGGACGTTCCACATCCACAGATGCCACCAACCACAGATGGAAAATACTTGGGGGAGAAAAAAGCTGCACTTGTACTGAACCTATATAAACTTGTTTTTCTTGTTATTCCCTAAGCAATACAGTATAGCGACTATTTGCATAGTTGCTCCAGTGCATTTATAATGATAAGCAATCAAGAGCTGATTTAAAGCTTACCAGAGAATGTGCACAGGTTTTTATGCACGTATTACACCACTTTATGTAAGGGGTTTGAACATCCATGGATCTTGGTATCCTTGGGGTCCTAAGGCCCCACCCCTGTGGATGCTGAGCAATGACTGTAATGAGGATAATCAGAGGACTGATGTGAGAACTGATCTAGAGAAGGTGTGTGAAGTATTTCATAGAGCACCTTAGATCGTTTCACTGTTAGCAGCCCCTGGCTGCCACATGGGTTGATGGAGAAAAAGAAGCTCCCTGGCTCAAAAGAGATTAGGACCCCAAAGGACACAGCAGTCACCCTGCTGCCCAATCCAACACTGCAGCAGCAGAGGAACCAGCTTTAGTGCCTGATGCAGTGGTGGTGATGATGATTATGGTGACGACGATGACAGCAGGATAAAGCAGGAAGCCCCCAGCCCAGCCAGCCTTAGCCTGCCCCTGACCTGTTCCCCAACCCTCAAGCCTTTCCTGAGATCCTGATCCCTACCTAGCCTATCTATCTGTTGGCTGCTGAGCTGGTAAGCAGGCAAGCCGAAGGTACTTTACTGCTCTTAAATGTGGAGTGTGTCAGAGGAGAAAGGGCTGGCTGTCAGACCAGGCCAAAGGATATTACTGATCCCTGCCTCAAATTCAAGTGGATGAGGGGAGACAGAATTTAATCTTCTAAACAGGAACCTACCAGGAAGTATGCCCTATATTGCTAGAATGCAGCTTCCCCACCACAGTTGTCAAAATAAGTTCACCTACTTGCAGCAGCCATATCCCTGAACTGAAAAATATTGCTTCCAGCAACCAAGCCTTTCTCCATAGAAAGCAGGTCCTGAGTTTTGAGCAACACAGCACAAAGCAGAAGCAACTAAAACCACATCATCCTTGGAACTTTCCCATTCTGGGCATGGTAAATTGGGCAAAACTTTACAGTGGCTATGTGATTTCCAGTGAGATACCATTAAGTGTTTCCAAAGCTCCTTCAGGAAGAGACTATTGGCTGAGGCCATGGCCCAGAGGGTGAGCCCTGACCTTGTCACTCACCAGCACTAGGACTTTGCAAAAGTCACTCCTTTTGAAACCTCAGTTTCCTCATCTGTAAAATGTAAATAACAGTCCCTACCCCACCCCAACCTCACTGAGACTTATGAAAGTGGAAAGCACCTAACCTATGTGGAAGCTCCTTTCTGGGACAAGCTACTGAGTTGCTACATGGGCTTCTGGTTGCTTCTGTCTTCTCTTGAGGAACCCCAGACCCAGCTCACCTATCCTCCTGCCTGAGTGGAGACACCAGTCAGGGTGAGTGAGCATGAGAACAGAGAGAGTCTGTGATAAATGAAAAATCCAACTGGTGTCAGACCTCTTTTACCTCTCTCATCCAGGGTGGCCTTCGCAAAAGATGATGTCAAATCTGGGACCAAGGGGCCCCAGCCCATGTCACCTTCTGATTTCTTGGACAAGCTGATGGGGCGCACGTCTGGTTATGATGCCAGGATTCGACCTAATTTTAAAGGTAGGCAACATAACATCCTAAAAAGCTCCTCCCTTCTACCACCACTTCTGACAGCACACTACCTAGCCAGTTTCTGTGGCTTGCCCTAAGGAAAGGCTAGTGGGCCAGGGCTAGTTCCAGCAGCTCAAAGGAGCAACCCCATATTTTTGCCCAAAGGCCTGTGTAGGCAGCACTGCATTCTGCCAAGGACTGCCTGGGGCATGAAGCTCAGGGAGGGAGTCATTGAACCCTGCTCCAAGTCTGGAATGCCCTGCCAATGGGCTGTGCTTTGCTACCCTCAGGCCCACCCGTGAATGTGACCTGCAACATCTTCATCAACAGTTTCGGCTCCGTCACTGAGACCACTATGGTAAGGGGTCTCCCTGTTCCCTGCTTCCAGTCTGGTGTGAATGGGAGAATCCCACCACAACAGCAGGCATGTCCTTCCTCCCTGGTCCTATCACCGTTTCATAATAGTGGCTAAAGCCATGGGGTATCTGAAGTTGGCCACTGGGAGGAGAGTTTTCCTTATCCTTTCATCCCATAGCTAAATACAGACTCCTAAGCAGAAGGTGGTCAAACTTCAGTAGTTTAGTGCAGAGCACACACTTTGGAACCAAACTTGCATTTGAATCCTGACTCTACTATCTAACAGCTGTACTAACTTAAGCAGAATAGTAAGAACTCTCTCAGGCTCTGCTTCTCATCTATGAAACGGAGCTCATGACAGCACCTTCCTCACAAGGTTGGTGTGAGATAGAGTTGACATAATGGATGCAAAGAGAGCACTTGGCAAAAAGCCTGGCACATAGTAAGTATAAATAAATGCCTTTCCCCATCTTGGCTTTGCTCCATCAGTCTATGGCAGGTTCCTTCTCCAGTAAAAAAAATGGCCACACCCTGTTGAGGTGTGCCCTCAGCACTTCTCTTCCTGATCTTCTCACCCAGGAAGGCATGCTAGGTCCCTGTGACTTCCACTGCGTCCAACGGGCACATCTCTGCCCCCCTCCAGGACTACAGGGTGAATGTCTTCTTGCGGCAACAGTGGAATGATCCACGTCTGGCATACCGAGAATATCCTGATGACTCCCTAGACCTGGATCCCTCAATGCTGGACTCTATCTGGAAGCCAGACCTGTTCTTTGCCAATGAGAAAGGGGCCAACTTCCATGAGGTGACCACAGACAACAAATTACTGCGCATCTTCAAGAATGGGAATGTGCTCTACAGCATCAGGTGCACCCAAGGGTTGGCTGGAAGTCTGTGTCTGTCAAAGGGACTGAGCAGGGAGGGAACCCACCAGTGCTGTGCTGGGCCCCAGCAAGCTGATGCCACTTCTTTCTTATTGCCTCTGCCAGGTTGACCCTCATCCTGTCCTGTCCAATGGACCTCAAGAACTTCCCCATGGACATCCAGACCTGCACAATGCAGCTGGAGAGCTGTAAGTGCCTCTAGTGTGTCACAGTCCAAGGACTGGAAGAACAGCTAGTTCACAGCATTCCATGATATTGCAGACTAGAGAGAGACTTACCCAAGCACACCCAGTCTGTTCTTGGCCTAGATGAGACTCAAAACCAAGGATCCCTAACAGTTCAAGGTGTTTTTCATCCCATGCCACTTGCTGCTCTGGCTGTCCATAGGGCCAGGGAGTGCCAAAGGTACCAGCATTAGGTACCCATGTACCTACACCAGTAGTTGGGAGGCATTTGATGGATACTTCCTTCACCCAGAAGTATGTTCCTTTCCGCCAGCGCCAGCTTTACCGTCACCCCAAAACGCTACCCTGAGCAACTTGGCATGCTCTGGTATTAGCTGTCTATTTGCTCCAATTGAAGGCTCTGGCTAGGAGTCTGTAGTATGCACATTGTGCCATGCATGACTGGCGGGATATAAATAGCACTCTTCTCCCGAGGTGAAATGGCAGAAGTCCTGGCTCTGAGGCTAGCCTGGCTCAAGACATGTGTTCAGTATGCATGCTTAATCCCCTGGGCTTGAGAGAAAAGGCAGCAGCAAGTGCCCAGCTGGGGTCTTTGGCATCTTCCCAATCCTTTTGACCAGCATTCTAGATCTGTCAGAATAATTTTTTTTCTGGCTCTCCCTTAATCTTTGGAAATGGGTAGGAAAGGAGTTGGGAAACTTGCTGATTTGCCCCAGTTAAGATGGACACATGAAATAACTTACCAAGTGCCAGCTTCAGAAAAGCTTCCCTTTTCCAATATCAGCACAAAAATCCCAAACTGCAGGTCTCGCTCCTCATCTGTGAGCTCCAGCTCCTTCTTGGTTTCCCTCTACCTTCATCCAACATCCACACTCTGAAGTCCTTTGCCATCTCTTTCCCTTGCAGTCGGCTACACCATGAATGACCTCGTGTTTCAGTGGTTGGAAGATGCTCCTGCTGTGCAAGTGGCTGAGGGCCTGACCTTGCCCCAGTTTATCTTGCGGGATGAGAAGGATCTAGGCTACTGCACCAAGCACTACAACACAGGTAAGAAAGAGGTTCTTTCCTGGCTGCAAGTCCAAGGAAGGCCTCCAGATGAGAGACAAGGCAGCCAACCTCTCATGAAGACCCCTCTAGACCATATATGGTGCTAGGTACTATATGTATTTTAACTCACTGTGGTTTCAATGATCAACATGGATTACCTCCCTCGAAAGAGATGAGGAGAGTAGTAAGAGGAATAAACCATTAAGTTTAAAACTACAGTTGAGAGAAAAAATTGGTATACTCCTTATTGGACAAAACATGCAAATTTTATACAGATCAATGGCATTCCTTTGCTGTGTCTTATAGGTGTAGTCAGAGGTTTCAACTGCATATGCTTGGAAAGATGCCCAGAAATCTTCATTTTAACAAACATCCTGAGTATTGTGATGGATGTGATCTAGGGAACACAGATTGAGATACTTCAGTCCAGAAGCTATTTGCTTATCTAGAAATCCCACACTTTGGAATGTATTGATAAGGAAATATTCCAAAATATGACGTTGACTTTAAACCCCAAGAGGGCTCCTGAGTCACAGTTGATACTAACAAACTTGGAACTATTCTAAGAAACCAATAGGGCAGAAGTTATAGAAATTACACGGGGTTTCTGGTGGAATAGTAATGCAGACATTAAAAAAGAATGCTTGAAAATGTTTATATCAACATAGGAAAAACAAGTGAAGAAAGTTGAGATTCAAAGTTCTACACAGACAGTGAGTATATGGTGGGAAAAGGAGTAACCTAAAAACCTGCATTTACAATCCTGAAAGGAATAGTGCTTGATGATATAATGGGTAAGAGCAAAAACTTTAGAGTTAGGCAGAGCTGCTTGGACTCTGGCTTTAGTAGGTACTAGCTGAGTGCCCTGGAGAAATCTGATCTCTTCTTGCCTCAGTATCCCATCATAACATGAGGAATAGTAGCTTGACTTGACCCAAGGAGTAGCTACAGCACTAAATAAAAGCATACAAAGTTAGGACACTCAGTGGAAGCTTGCTAAACTGAGCTTATAAATATTATTACTCCACCTCTACATCTCACTTTTCTACATAAACAATTTTACAAGTAAAAAAAACTGCCTAAAACATAAATAAATGGGGGAGCTAATATTGTGGCATAGTTGCCACCTGTAACAACAGTATCCCATGTGGGACCAGTTCAAGTCCCAGCTGTTCCTCATCCAATCCAGGTCCCTGCCAACGCACCTGGGAAAGCAGTGGAAGATGGCCCAAGTGCTTGGCTCCTGGCTTCAGTCTGGCCAGCACAGACCACTGTGGTTGTGGAGCAGGCCAGTGGATGAAAGATTTCTTTCTCTCTCTTTTCCTCCCTCCCTCATTCTCTTCCCTCCCTTCCTTTTATTGTACCTTTGAAATAGATATAATAAATCTCTAAAACTATAATTAAGTAAAACAAAAAAACAAAAAAACAAAAAAAAAAGGAAAGGAAACAGAAGTACCTAATAAAGGCATCCATGGCAAGAAGCTACAGGGAATGGGGATAAGGTAAGGCAGACTTAGGAAACAGCAGGTGTGAGTTCATGGAGCATTTGAAAGCCGCTGTCAGTCACTGATGGAACGACTGGCCCTCAGAAATCAGCAAGGCCCGGCGAGAAAAGCAGCAGATACACAACCCCTTGACTTCATTTAGGCTATCCTGAGTTTATGCTTCAAATATCTGAATTAGTGTTTTCTTAGCCTTCGGGTGGTGAAAAGGGGATGAGAGGCAGGTGGCTGGCAGGAGTGGCCGTGCATTGGGCCAGGTGCCTAGGGCCAGCACATTTTATGTTAGTGGAATTGAATGCTGCTGCTTGATGGCTCTTAATTCTCTGCCTGCTGTCCAGAGCTGCTCTCTGTCGGGAATTATTTCCAAACGCTCGTCATCTCGCTCTTCTCACTTGCTTAAGGCACAAGGCAGTGGGCCTGGCGTGGTGGCCTAGTGGCTAAAGTCCTTGCCTCATATGCACCAGGATCCCATATGGGTGCCGGTTCTAATCCCGGCAGCCCCACTTCTCATCCAGCTCCCTGCTTGTGGCCTGGGAAAGCAGTCGAGGACGGCCCAAAGCCTCGGGATCCTGCACCCGTGTGGGAGACATGGAGGAGATTCCTGGCTCTTGGCTTCGGATTGGCGCAGCACCAGCCGTTGCAGTCACTTGGGGAGTGAATCATTAGATGGAAGATCTTCCCCTCTGTCTCTCCTCTCTGCATATCAGCCTTTCCAATAAAAATAAATAAATCTTAAAAAAAAAAAAGACACAAGGCAGTGTTGCTCCCCAGTGAAATCATTGCTACAGAACTTCCAGGGTACTAGCAAGTACAAAAAAAAAAAAAAAAATGCTGCTGAGAGAGCTAAGCTAATGGATTTCATTGAGAAAGATTTTTATTTGTTTGAAAGACAAATTTACCAGGGGCAGGAGTGGGGAAATCATCTATCCATGAGTTCACTCCCTTTTAAATGGCCACAACAGCCAGGGTTGTGTCAGACAGAAGCCAGGAACCTGGAGCTCCATCCGACTCACCCACACGGGTATCAGGGGCAAAGCACTTGGACAGCCTTCCCCTACTTTCCTAGGCACATCACAAGGGAGCTGAGGACCCGGCGTGGTGGCCTAGCAGCTAAAGTCCTTCCCATATGGGAGCTGGTTCTAATCTTGGCAGCTTTAGATCGGCACAGCACCAGCCGTTGCGGTCACTTGGGGAGTGAACCATTGGATAAAAGCTCTTCCTCTCTGTCTCTCCTCCTCTCTGTATATTTACCTTTCCAATAAAAAATAAATAAATCTGGGCCCAGCGCAATAGTGTAGTGGTTAAAGTCCTCGCCTCGCATGCCCGGGATCCTGTATGGGCGCCAGTTCTAATCCTGGAAGCCCTGCTTCCCATCCAGCTCCCTGCTTGTGGCCTGGGAAAGTAGTCGAGGACAGGCCAAAGCTTTGGAACCCTGCACCCATGTGGGAGACCCGGAAGAGCTCCTGGTTCCTGGCTTTGGATTGGCTCAGCTCCAGCCATTGTGGTCATTTGGGGAGTGAACCATGGCACAGAAGACCTTCCTCTCTCTCTCCTCCTCTCTGTATATCCGCCTTTCCAATAAAAATAAATAAATCTTTAAAAAATATATAAATCATTTTTTAAAAAAAGAAAGGAGCTGAATCAGAAGCAGGGAGCAGCTGGGAATAGAACCCATTCTTATATGGGATGCTGGTGTGGCAGCCAATGGCTTAACCACACTGCCACCACACAAGTCCCTAAACTAATGTTTTCTTAAGAAGGACAACACTAGTAACTGCTGCCTAACGTGAACACCTGAAAAGCACTGTATCCTTCAATTTTTCCAATAGCCCAGCAATGGCGTCAGTATTGTATCTGCTGTTTCACAGGTGAGGAGGCCGAAACCAAGAGGCTTGAGTGCTTTGCCCAGAGACACATAACTAATATGTGCAAAGTACAGGATTCAAACCCATGCAGGCTCTGATTCTACAGCTCTCCTGTTCTTTATCCTTTTGTGATGCCACTCCAAAGACCTTCTGCTGGAAATCAAAGTGTTGGCTCTTGCTACATGTGCAGGTATTTCAAAAAGTTCATAGAAAATGGAATGAAAAGGTTAAGTTTAGAGGCCAGTGTTGTGGCATAGCAAGTAAAGCCACTGCCTGCAATGCCAGTATTCCATATGGCCACTAGTTCAAATCTCAGCTGCTCCGCTTCTAATTCAACTCCATGCTTTTATGCCTGGAGATCAGCAGAAGATGGTTCAAGTCCTGGGCCCCTGAACCCATATGGGAGACCTTAAAGAAATTCCTGGTTCCTAGCACTGGGCTGGGCCCAGATCAAGCCATTGTGGCCATTTGGGAAGTGAACTAGCAAATACAAGATCACTCTGTCTGTCTGTCTGCCTCTCTTGTTCTACTTCATGTAATGTTCAAATAATTACTTTTAAATAAATGTATATTAAATTAATATTTTTAAAAGAGAAGCTTATTTTGGTACAAAAAATTTGAACACTATACATTGATTTTCATAATACTGTTTTTCACGAACTTTTCAAAGGCTCCTTCATATGCACAGAGTTTAAAATTTTTTGCACCCAAATAAACTTGTCTGTTTTTAAATATTTATTTATATATTTGAGAGCAAGAGTGAGCAAGAGTAAAAGACACAAAGAGAGCTTCCGACTTTTGGCCCACTCCCCAAATGGCCATACAACATCCAAGGCTAGGCCAGGCTGAAGCTAGAAGCCAGAAAACCCGTCAGGGTCTCCCACATGGGTGGCAGAGGCCCACAGACTTAGCTCAGTTTGCACTGATTTCCCATTGCATTGTTAGGGAGCTAGATTAAAAGCAGAACAGCCAGTACTTCAATTAGCATGCTGATATGGACGGTGGTGTCACACGTGGCCACCTAACTTGCTGTGCCACAATGCTAGCCCCTGAACTTACCTTTTTAAAAATTTATTTTATTGATTTGAAAGGTTAAGCTTCACAAAGAGGGCAAGACAAAGAGAGACAGGAAAAGGGAAATCTTCCACCTGTGGGCTCACTCCCCAAATGGCTACAGTGACTAGGGATGGGCCAGGCCAAAGCCAGGAGTCAGGAGCTTCATCCAGGTCTCCTGCCATCGTCCACTGTATTCCCAGGAGCATTACCAGAGAGCTCAATTCGAAGTGGAGAAGCCAGGACTCCAACTGGTGCTCATATGGGATGCCAGTTCCAAAACTGGTGGCTTAGCCCATTGCACTTCAGCACTGGTCCCTAAATTTATCTTTTAACTCCATTTTCCAAAAACATTATAAATGCCCTCATACACATAGGGCCATTTTGAAAGACTCACTCATTGGCCTAGCTTAGATGCCCAGAGGCTGGCCAAGAGAAATAAGGCTGCCCCTGTTCTGACGCCCAGGCTCAGCTGACAGAGTGTGGACCTGCTCTCTTCTACCTCATCTCTTTCCTCACAGGGAAATTCACCTGCATCGAGGTAAAGTTTCACCTGGAACGGCAGATGGGTTACTATCTGATTCAGATGTACATCCCCAGCTTGCTCATCGTCATCCTGTCCTGGGTCTCCTTCTGGATCAATATGGATGCTGCCCCTGCCCGTGTAGGCCTCGGCATCACCACTGTGCTCACCATGACCACCCAGAGCTCTGGTTCCCGGGCCTCTTTGCCCAAGGTAATCTGCTCGACATCAGGCTCTCCATTTCCCACTCACCCCATGGTCCCTCCTGCTCACTATTTATCTTAGGTTTAAGGCCGAGCAGAGCCATGGAGCAGGAGTACTACATTCTCTCTTCTCCCCAAATATGTTGGTTATAACATTGCTAACAGCATGAATGCTGGGGTTGGGAATGATTATCTGGCTAGAGACGGAGGAGAAGTGTGCTTATTTACTTTGACTTCCTTCCAGAAATAATTGCATGTCCAAGATCTTGGAATAAATAAGGTGAGTACAGCCCAGAGAGGCAAAGTGACCTTCTCAAGGTCATTTCTCCCAAGAAATAATGTAAGAAGTACTATGCTTTGAACCAATTTCTTCCCTCTTAACTGTATCAGAAATCAGAGACACTATTAAAAAGAGCTCTAGAGACAATGTCCTCATGGAATGAGAAAATTTTGAGATAGCAAATGACAAAGTCAGTGGATTCTGATCATCTGGGATCTGATGATGTTTTGATTATGCAGGAAGATTTGTGCTGATGGGACTGAGCACAGTTCTTCTTGCCTCATGGCTTCAAGGAGAGCATGGAAAGGTCACATCAAAGTCCTCACAGTCAGCAAAGTGCTAAGCAAATCATAGCACAAGGTCATTCATTCATTCAATAAATATTTATTGAGCAGGTACTGCATACCAGGCATGGTACTTAATCATAGAAAAGAAATAGGGAAAGTGAAGGAAACAAAGTTCCTTATGGATTATAGTGAATGTATTTCCTCTCGCTCTGATTTGTTGGAACTAAACTGTCATTTCCTATCTCTCAGTTTGTCCCCACTATAATTTACAACTTTAATTAATTAATTAATTAAAGCAGGTGATAATCTGGGGCAATTTATGGTGAGTTCATGAGTCTACCATATGAAGAAAGTGGTGCTTTAGAGTGAGAAATTAGAGTCAGACATACCTGGATTTAAGTCTTGAGTATTATCACGTACTACTAGTGTGATCTTTGGTGACTTACTTCCTTGACTTTCAAATTTCCTCACCTGTAACACAGAATTATCTTTTCCACAGGTTATTGTGAAAATAAATAATGTCTCACTATACAGGACAGTGCTTCACACATAATCACTCAGTAAATGTTAACTTTCTTCAGTTATTAGGTGTTAGGGTTACAAAAAAGTGTGGGATGGATCTTGGGCAAAAATGGCTAGTGTCCCCAATTATTTTTTCATTTATTTTATTAGAGGCAGAGAGAGACAGATGTATATATAGAGAGTTGGACAATGAAAGAGAGCACTCCCACCTGCTAGTTCTCTGAACACCCACGATGGACTGAGCCAAAGCCGGAAGCTGTGACCTCAATCCACAGCTCCCACAAGGGTGCCAGGAACCACACTTAAGTCACCACAGCAGCTGCCAAGGACTGCATTAATAGAAAGCTGCAAATCAGCAGCCTGGGCCACGAATCAGATCCAGCACTCTGACTTGGGACACAGACACCCTCCCTGGCACCTTAATCACTGGACTAGATATCCATCCCTCCCATAATACTGGGAAACCTTTGATCTAACCCAAAACGCTATAGGGCTAAACATGACAGAACTCAGATCAGGATCATTTGTCTGAGGAGAGACTGTTAAGAGTCATTTCTTGAAAATGCATTTGCTAGGTGGTTGGGGATACTGATGAGATTCTTGGACATAGGCTGAACTTGCGCATGGGTTATACAGCCAGGCTGGGCTGTGACAGCTGTGTTCTGATAGTGACGTTGTCCAGAGACCACAGAAAGGTAGTGCAGAGCTAAGAACCCCACTCCAGTTAACTGCCTCTACCATGCGAGGAGAGTCTTCCTTAACTCATGGAGTTACTACAATTTATGTCTTCTTTTTTTTATACTCCAAAAAACTTCTTTTTCTGGTCCCCTCCTGTGAACAAACACAATCCATATACTCCTAAGAACCATTTAGCTACCTCATTTGGAGAAAATGAACTTTGTTAGTGGCTTACTTGCTTGCAGCATTCAGTGCTTTCTCGTCAGAACTGAATGACTTCTTTACGGCTTCATTGGCCAGTAAGCAAAATAGTTTTTCCTTCTTTTAATGATTCTTTTTTAAAAAAAAAAAAAAAGATTTATTGTATTTTTATTGGAAAGTCAGATACACAGAGAGGAAAAGAGACAGAGAGGAAGATCTTCCGTCCTCTGGTTCACTCCTCAGGTGGCTGCAGCGGCCAGAACTGTGCCGATTGGAAGCCAGGAGCCCAGAGCCTCTTTGGGCTCTCCCACACAGGTGCAGGATCCCAAGGCTTTGGACTGTCCTTGACTGCCTTCCCAGGCCGCAAGCAACAAGCTAAATGGGAAGCGAGGCTACCAGGATTAGAACTGGTTCCCCCTATGGGATCCTGGTGCACGCAAGGGGAGGACTCTGGCAGCTAGGCTACTGCACCAGGCCCCAATGATTCTTTTAATAAGCAGCAACAAACATGGACACCATTTGCTTGCCCTTTGTGATTTCCTAGGGTCCTCATTAATTGAGCAGCTTAACTGGCAGAAATCCTGATTCCCATGCAAGACTAATGAAGAGACTTAAAGCTCAGAGCATAAAAGTCTTAGGCAAGATCACCCAGTGAGAAGATGATGTTAGTACCTAGGAGTCCTGGGATTCCAACTCAGTAGCCTTACAAGTTGCTTAGGCTGTGGTCTCACCAATGGACTAGGAACTCCACCCCTGTTGTTCCTCTGACCCTGTATCTTCCTGCTATTTTCTTTGTGAGAGGCCAAGTGTTAGGAATTACACACACACAGTGGGGAGTTGGGGCCTTATCTCTCACCATTTAGAGAACAAAGCAGGTTTACTCAGGAGCGCCACCTAGCAGCTGTCTGGATGCTGTGCTATTTGCAAAAGCACCATTGGCAGCCACCATTGCCTAGTGCTCCCCTTTTGCTTTTAAGTGCTTTTCTCTTCCACTTCCCTTGTGATGTTGAACACTGATTCATCCTGGAACAAGGTGACAGCTGGGTAGGGCCAGATGTGGGGGAAGACAGCTTAGGTTTGAGGTCCTTTTGCCTCTTCAACCAAATTGACCCCCTATGAAATTTTGAGTTGCTGGGTTCAGCCCAGAGAGCTCCCCAGCAGAGATGGACAGGTAATATCTTATGTCAGCTTCTGCTGTGCTTTAGACACCAGATAAGAAGAAGGTTTCAATGGATAAATCCTGTACCTCTATGGTTCCTAACTGGGAAAACATCTCCCCCATCCAGGGGCATATGGCAATGTTTGGAGACATTTGTGATGGCAGTTTGGAGCATTGATGGCAATGTGCATCGCATGGATAAAGTCCAAAATTCTGCTAAACATGCTACAGTGCACAAACACACACACACACACACACCTCTGACCCTAAATGACAATAGGGATAAGGTTGAACAATTCTGCTCTAATTCTTTTAAATTCACTTAAATGAAGAGAGTGGTTACTGATTAAGTAACCCTAATCAAGTGTCTCCCTTTTCCTATTAAGAGAATATTCTATTTCGTTCTCCATCTCCCATTTCCATTGTGCCTCTATGGATCTCAGATTACTTTTATGAAGACTGAGGATAAGGAAAGACCCCAAAAGGTTTTGGATCATCAAAGGAAAGGATCACTTAAGCACCAAGATCTTCCTGTCTCTTTTCCTCTCTGTATATCTGACTTTCCAATAAAAATACAATAAATCTTAAAAAAAAAGAATCATTAAAAGAAGGAAAAAATAAATAGAGGTAAAAGTAGAACTGCAGAAAGAATAAAGGAAAAGAAGCATAGGGAGGAAAAACAGATGGAGTAACAGGTGGAGAGTGCAGACAACTGAAGGATGGTAAGTGGCTGGATTTCTCTGACATTGGCCTTCAGATACCAGAACATTTTGTGGAAAGCTTATTTAACAGCCAGAAGAAATTCAGATTAAGGCTGAAGAACAGCTGGGCTGGAATATCCTGGATGGGCCATGGGAGGAATTCAAGAAGCCTGACCACTCTGTCAATGGCTATTTGTAGGTATCCTATGTGAAGGCCATTGACATCTGGATGGCCGTGTGCCTACTCTTTGTTTTTGCTGCCCTGCTGGAATATGCTGCTGTTAATTTCGTCTCTCGTCAGCATAAGGAATTTATGAGACTTCGAAGAAGGCAGAGGCGCCAGCGCATGGTGAGTACCGCTAGGGAGGGGCCTGGTTTCATTCTCTTTGGGGCTCCTCCCTCCCTACTCCTGTTCCCACAATCCATGCCCCAATTGAGGGCAATTGGGAGCCCCCAAAATCATTCCCAGGCTGGTCACAGTTGAGCTAAGTGCTTTAACCTCTTGGATTCTCATTCCTTATCTTTCTTTTGGGACATTAATCCCTGTAAGGTAGGTAGTAGAGATTAAGAAAATGGGCAATACTGCCTTGCATAGAAGAAGCACTGAAAATACATTAGAAGGTATTATAGCATTATCCAGTTAGTAAATATGAGAATCCTTTAAGAAGCAGAAATGGTTGCTCCTGGCTCTCCCCAGAACCAAGAAGTACTCTAGCTAGGTTGTCATAGAATAATTGGTAGTTAAGAATTAAAAAATCAGGTAATAGTGCTTTTCTAGGAGACATCATAAGGGGTGAGTAGATAGGGTCCCAGTAACTAAGCTGAACTGCAAAATAACTACTTGCCTCTCATGGCTGTTGGATTTCCAATTTATCTTCAGAATGCCTCAGAGTTGTTTGGCTTGAGCTTTGGTTCTTCCTCAGCATTGTTTGTTAACTTCTACAGTAGTGTGATCATCACCTGGGGAAATGTAAGAGGAAATCTTGTTGTCATGACAACAGAGGCAGTTTACCCTCAATTGCCCAGCTAATAGGTGCTAGGTAAGTTGTCATGACAACAGAGGTGCGTAAGCTGCCCCTGTAGCAGCAAATGTCCAATCATGTGCATAACTAAAAGCCTTTGCTGAGCTACATACTTGCTGGTTGCTTAATCATAGGGGAGATGCCAAGTCTTGGGATTGAACCCCATGTTTTCTGCCTAATCAAGAGGCCCTCAAACCAAAGGAGCAAATGAATTCAGTGACCTCTGAAGGGCAGGAAACAATGATGCTATGATCTGAACCCCCAATTAAAACCCTGGCCCTAGCCTGTCTGGGCCAACATCCCTCTCAGCTGCTCCAGGACCACCTAGCCTGCAATATGCCTACATGAAAAATATCTCACAAACGATGGCTGTGGTTTTGTGTTCTGTGCTAAGGTTCCTTTCTGCTAAGGGCAAGGCTTCTGGCTCATCAAGGGCGGGGCTGTGGGGGTTCTAAATTTATCAATTCTTGCCTCACTTTAGTGCTTTAGTTAGGCCCTAGACAACACACCCTCTAGTGGACTGATCTACAACTGCATATCCTCGAGTAGGACTCCGTCAAAAACCTAAAACTCTTTCCTATCTTATTCTCAGATTTAGAAAAATATATTTAAAAAAAAAATCGGCAGACAGGGAAAAAAGAGATGATCCCTCTTTCTAAGATATGTGTCCCTCCATCTCCTCTTGAGTTGTGTCAAACGGGTTTGTAGGTACCAAAATCCTATCTTTATAAGAGACTTTCTTTTGGTCTTGGTACCTTCTCAATGCCTAGCTTGAAAAAGAATAGGGGCGAGTGCTGTGCCCGCAGCACCAGCATCCCGTAAGAGAGCTGCTTCAAATTCCAGCTGCTCCACTTGCATTCTTGTTCACTGTTAATGTGTTGTGGGAAGGCATGAGACGGTGGTTCAAGTATTTGGGACCCTGCCACCAACATGGGAGCTCCAGAAGATACTACTGACTTCTGGCTCTGACCTGGTCCATTTCCAAACATTATAGCCAATTAAGAAAGCGAACCAATGGATGGAAGATCTCTTTCTTTCCCTGTCCTCTCTCTGTAACTGTGCCTTTCAAATAAATAAATAAATCTTTTCTTCTAAAAGAAAAACACGAATAGGCCACCAACTGGTACAAAATTCTTTTAGCAACCAAATCCAAATTACCTGTGTGGATGACACAGCAACGACAAAAATGTCAGTTTACTGTAGAGCCACTGGAACAGGTTGACACTGGTCCCGCCTCTTTCCCTGAATCCACTCAATCTCCAGGTGCTCACAGCCTTATCTCCTCCTGCTCATATACAAGTCGACCCTGAGCTCATAGTGGAGTGTGTCATAACCGGCACTCTGTTACTGCAAAGTCATAGCAGCAGCCTGGCTTCAAACCCTAGGGCCTGTCTAAAACCTCAAAAATCACACATGTGCCAGTAAGCATGTCCCTTTTCAGCTGTCCTAAAGCCACTGCCAACCTAGTGGAATTGCAGCAAGAATCATGGAGCCACCAAGCAGCCTGAAAAGGTTGATGGGAAGTAATGCATTTCTACCATCCCTCTCTTGGCTAATATATTTCTAGAATCTTTTTCTAGTGTTCCAGCTAGAGAAGCAGCTGTTTTCAGCCTGAGAGAAGTATTGTCAGGGGAGGAGAGAGAATCTACGTGATTTTCAGGGAGCAGGTTAGATTTCCTAGGAGCCAGCCAGCTATTCACTGAACTCTAGGCTTAATCTCTCATCTCTCAATCAGCCATCTTCCAAATCCTCTGTCAACAGTGACTGAGGTTTTCCCACCCCCACACCCCACCGGCATAGCTTTCTGGCCTTGTCTGCCCACAAGCCTCAGCGGCAAAGGTGAAGGTCTTTGCCAGCTGAGCAGCCTCTAGCCCCAGGATATGGACACAGTAACCATGGCACCCAGCCCACCAACTTCTGCAAACTGATTGGTAAAAGCTTGCTCTCAGTGTACACACAGAGAAAGCTTGCCTTTCTCAACAGAAGAATTGGACTAACACTCCAAATCCTGCTGCATGTTCTCAGGGGCTCTGACTCAGAACTTTGCTCATCTCTTCCCCTTCTTGCACCCTCTCCCCTCCAGACCCTATTCTCTATTCTCCTTTCTTCCAGCCCCTATCTCAGCAGCAATACATATCACTCTGCCCCACCTCTATGCCTCACCTCCTACTCCATACTTTCCCTCCCCAGCTTAGTTTTCCAACTACTTTATCTGTTTGGCTTTTCACTGCCCTTCCCTGCCCCCAATAGCTGGAAAATGAATTCTGTTGAGATAGCCTCAGGAATCACAATGTAGTATTTCAGGCTCCATTGTCCCCTGACAAACACCCATGTGCAAGCCCATGTGCACACACACCCAGAATTTGGTGTAAATAGATAATACCCAAATCCAGGACATCCTCCCATCCATGGATTTCACGCTACTAGTCTTCGTCCCTTCAACTATAAGAGTTAAGAGATATTAAAATAAAAAAATAACTAATAGTGGCTCACTTTATTGGTTATATTTTCTATCCTGTGTTAAAGGGCTTTGTCCAACCTTAGAAATATTTCCAAATAATTCCCTTTAGACTTACTAGAGCCTTATGACTGGAGAAATGGGAAAATAATTGGATCTATAGAAACAGAAATAGCAATTGTATCCAACTGTTTCCTTCAGAATTTTTTAAATTGTTACTCTTTTGCAAACATTTATATTTCATGTTTTATTCTCTAACTTGTAGGCAGTGGGTGCTTGGGTGGAGGACAGAGAGGATCAGAATAAGTAGAGAAGTGAGGGACCTTGAAATGAAAAGCAAGACAAACAGTCTTTTTACTTAAGCCCACATTATTTGTCAGTCCCCTGGGTAATTTTTTTTTTCTACCTCTGGCTCTCAGAAATGGGCCCATCACAGCCTTCCCTATAGAGAAACTGTGCAGATGAAAAAAAATACACGCGAGGTGAGCCAGGGCCTTCGGTGAAAGAGGCTGTGGAAATAACAACTCTGAGCAGACAGCTAAGATTGCCACCACTGGTCCAGTGCAACAGCCTAGTAGCTAAAGTCCTCACCTTGCACATCCAGGGATCCCACATGGGCCCCAGTTTGTGTCCAGGCTGCTCCACTTCCCTGTGGCCTGCCTGTGGCCTGGGAAAGCAGTAGAGGATGGCCCAAAGCCTTGGGACCCTGCACCCACCCGGGAGACTTGGAAGAATCTCTTGGCTCCTGCCACAGATCAAATCAGCTCTAGTTGTTGCGGCCACTTGGAGAGTGAACCAGTGGACAGAAATTTTTTCTCTCTTTCTCTCCTTCCCCCTGTAAATCTTTCCAATAAAAACAAATAAATAAATCGTAAAAAAAAAGACTGCCATCACTACAGCCTGGGGTTTAAGTGCAGCCATGAAAGCGAACTGCCTGGCTTACACGTGTACAATTCTCTCTGCAAAAGAGTGACAAAATCACGGGTTGAGTAGCAAAGCTCTCAGATGGTCAGAGTTAAGAGACAGCAAGATCTTTTCCTGAACCTAAATTTACTGCAACACTATTAATACAAGCTGAAGGATGCAGAAACAGTGCGGGGAAGTGTGGGGGGGGGGGGGCACAAATTACCAGGTTCCTGCCAAACACTCTGTAACCAAGATTCTCTTTTGAGTAGAGTTTAGGGTCCAAGCTCTCAGAAGGCTGCTGCTGGCTTCTCAGAAACTAAAAGCCACTGTCAGCTTATCAGCCTACACATTCACTCAGCAGAGACCTACCTGACTGCCTAGTTGGTTCCAGGCACTGGGGATACAGCAGTGAACAAGAGCAGAGCTACTGCCCATTGCCCAAGTTTACACTCTGGAGTCCACAGGTAGCAGACTAAGAGATGGGATTTGCCAGTGCATCTCTGACCTGAATTTTTTTTTATGTTTGTTGTTTTTTTCTCCCAGATGCCTGTGCCTATAAGACAATAGGTCAGCTTCTCATAACGTAATAACAAAAGGCTTACTGTTACCTACCACACCCAACTTCTCACCTACAAAGTCAAAGTACAAAGCCACAATTCTGACATGCTACCAAATCTGTAGCGGGCCCTACAACTGCACAGGCTTTAAAATCTACTTCTCTGTAAATGATATATTCCATTGCCATGCACTATACATGTATCTTATGCAAGCTAACCCTAGATGGTTTGCCTTAGATTTCTCTATGTTTAACACTGAAGGATCTAAGTCTCAGGAACCTCCGGAAACCTGGGCAAGTCAAGTTATAGTCTGGCATCACCCTCTGAGGAGGCATTTCACTATAGGTGAAATCACTTCGGGTGATTTCTCAGATAACAAGATTTTACTCCAAAGCCAACAGTCTTTGAAGGAACTATCTTCCAACTCTTTCCTTTGGAAGTAAATGAGACTCACCTGGATTTTATACAAAATCTGAGTAAACACGCTCTGAGTGGACTCCTCGGAGCTCCTGGTTAATGTTCTCTGTCCATCATTTAAGGGTTGGCTTGCTGCCTCTCTCTCTCTCTCTCTCTCTCTCTCTCTCTCTCTCCAGTTTTTTTTTAAATTTCCATCTACCTGTCCTTACTTCCTGGCTCCAAGCTATCTGATAGCTAATGACAGCTGACAGCCAACTACTAGATAAATGGCCTTTTTGCTAGTGCTTATATAAAATTGACCTTTTAGATGTCAATGTGTTTATTGGAATGCACTCATTATACATGAAGAGAATGCATATCAGGCAATCAATGTTTCTCTGTATGTACTGACTCCTGTGTCAAATCTGCCAATTTCCAGAAAAGCACATTTGTTTGCAGCAGAGGGATCAGGTTATTCTAATTTGTAAAACACACTGGGTTATTTTAAATTGGGAATTTTCAGCTTTGAATTGAGATAATTTTTAAAAGCAACTATAATTAAAAGAGAATTAATTCTGTCTAAAGCTTTTGAACATCATTAAAAATCCAGGTTAATCAAATCTAAATATATTAGCTTTGCTATGTGTAATGGTTTCCTAACTCAGTTTATTATGAATCAGTGTTAACTTGACATTCAGATGTCCCACTCACAGTGGCTGGCACTTCACTGAGTTTTACATTGCTCTAAATTACCTTATGCATTTTTTTAAGATTTATTTTTATTATTATTTTTTTATTGGAAAGGCAGATATACAGAGAGGAGAGGGAGAGAGGAAGATCTTCCGTCTGATGATTCACTCCCTAAGTGAGCGCAACGGCCGATGCTATGCTGATCCAAAGCCAGGAACCTCTTCCAGGTCTCCCACGCAGATGCAGGATCCCAAAGCCTTGGGCTGTCCTTGACTGCTTTCCCGGGCCACAGGCAGGGAGCTGGAAGGGAAGCGGGGCTGCCGGGATAGAACTGGCGCCCATATGGGATCCTGGGAGTGCAAGGCGAGGACCTTAACCACTGCACCACAGCGCCAGGCCCACCTTATGCATTTTTAAGATAGCTCAAAGGATGAGCATTATGGTTCAGTGTACTAAACCAACACTTGACACATCAATATTCCCTACCAGAATGCCTAGTTCGAGTCCCCACAACTCCAAGCTTCTCGTCCAGCATCCAGCCAGTACTTTTGGCTCCTACTACATATATAAATATAGGAAACCAGGCTCACCCTGGCCCAGATGTGACTGCTGTTTCCATTTAGGATGTTAATCAGTGGATAAGGGATCTCGATATCTTTTTCTTTCTCTGACTTTCTGCACACTTCAAATACATGAATAAGTCTCTTTAAAACTAAACAAATCTCTTTCTAAAAATAAAACAAAAAGGGCCTGGTGCAGTAGCCTAGTAGCTAAAGTCCTCACCTTGCACATCCAGGGATCCCCTATGGTTGCTGGTTCCTATCCTGGTGGCCCCACTTCCCATCCAGCTCCCTGCTTGTGGCCTGGGAAAGCAGTAGAGGATGGCCCAAAGCCTCGGGACCCCACCTGCATACGAGACCCGGAAGAAGCTCCTGGCCCCTGGCTTCAAATTGCCTCAACTCCAGCTGTTGCAGCCACTTGGGGAGTGAATCAGCAGACAGAAGATCTTCCTCTCTCTCTCCTCCTCTATCTGACTTTCCAATAAAAATAAATAAATCTTCAAAAAAATTAAAATAAATAAATAAATACAAAGGCAGCTCAGGGAGCTGGCATTGTGGCATATCAGGTTAAGCTGACATTTGGGATGCACACATGCTATATCAGGCGGCCAGTGCTAGTTCTAGAGCTCCACCTCCAATCCAGCACCTGCTCATGTGCCTGGGAGAGCAGCAGCGGATAGCCTAAGTGCTTCACTCCCTGTCTTCCACACGGGAGACACGGATGAAGTTCTTAACTTCTGTTTTCAGCTTTTTCCAGCCCTGAATGCTGCAGACATTTGAGAAATGGACCAGTGAATGGAAAACACATCTCTCTCTCTCTCTCTTTTCAATAAATAAATAAAAATAAATCCTTTTTTAAAAGGCAGTTCAGGGCCTATCTGCAAATGCAATTGTAACATATACTCCACATACCACGTATAATTGCTTAGCATCTATCTCATGAGTAATTTTGTGACCATTGTAAGCACACAGTGACTCACATACCAAACCAGCTTACAACACCATCTATGGGATTTTTATGTATGGTCTGTTCTTTATCTCATTTCCTTAGCACTTTGACCTCAAATTTTGCCTTGTCTTCCTTGTTATTCCAGGAGGAAGATATCATCCGAGAAAGTCGCTTCTATTTCCGTGGCTATGGCTTGGGCCACTGCCTGCAGGCAAGGGATGGAGGTCCAGTAGAAGGTTCTGGCATGTATAGCCCCCAACCTCCAGCCCCTCTTCTGAGAGAGGGAGAAGCCATGCGGAAACTCTATGTGGACCGAGCCAAGAAAATTGACACCATTTCCCGGGCTGTCTTCCCTTTCACTTTCCTCATCTTCAATATCTTCTACTGGGTTGTCTATAAAGTGTTACGGTCAGAAGATATCCACCAGGCACTGTGAACAGGGTTGGGTCTGTAAAGTCCAGCTCGGTTTCCTGTTTGCTTCTGGGTGGGCTCTCCTTCGCCCTTAGATTCCATCAGGGAATTTGACAGTTCCTTCCCAATTCCCAATTCAAAACATAAACTTACCTGTCCCAGAGCTGTGTTATCCTATACTGCATGGTGCCATGGTGGCTGTACTTAGAAGGATGGCTCATTCACCCTAACTCAAACTTTCTCCATATTTTCCCATTGCTCATGAGACTAAGCTTTGCTTTCCTGGAGCCAGTATAAACTCTTGCACTTCCTGGTGCCTCTCTATTTTCCAATACGCTGGAGAATTTTCAGACCAATGTTACTAGATTCTCACATTTGTCACCTTTTTAAAATTTTATAATACACTCCCATAGGCTCTGAGATTTCCCCTCCTCCCTTCTCCAGATCTCCTCCCCCATCTGTTTCCCTCCATATTATTACGATAGTATAGTCCTTTTGAAACAGTCTTAAGTCCATCATTCTGCCATTTGTCAGAATCTGCACTACTCCTAACCCTACTGCCTTCCAGTCAAGAGTCTGGACTTTGCCCTGTCCTTTGTCTCTCCTATTGCAGAATAAAATGGGGTATCTTTCCCATCCATAAGTGCAGCCCAGTGTGACTCCATAAGGCTTCTTTGGGGGTGACAGGAGGACAAGTCACAGGCTCGCCACCTCCCAACAAAGTTTGGAACACCCATGGGCTGCCCTGGGGTGGGGGCAATGTTTTATGTTCCAAAAGAGAGGTGTTTGAGCTTCTGGAAGACCCCAACTGTCAGAATTGGGGCAGGAACTCTGAATGCTCAAGAAAATCCTTCCAGATCCTACTGAACTTTCTGATTTCAGAATATTTTTTTTCTATTCCCTAACTAATTAGCATGATGGGAGAGTGTGCTAGGGAGTATAAAAAAGTGAAAAGTGCTTCTTTAATAAATTTACTTGATGATGCTAGAAAAGTTTCAGGGAAATTAGGATCCAAGGAAGTAAGAGCCATGGGGAGCAGAATACAGAAACTATCCTCAGAGAACGTGTTTGTTGGCTACACTTTCACTTGCTTTTTCCTTTTCTCCAAAGGACCCCTCATTTACAATTTGCCCTTTCATCTCCTTTTGACAAGCAAATAATGGTGCCACACAACCTTGTTCAGGGTGGAATGGGGCTTTGAGGTACCTGGGAAAGAGCTAGACATACAGAGGACCCATATAACTAGGCAAATGCTGACCTGACTATCAGGCTGGTACCTGAAAGCAGTTTTGCTTCCCCTCTCCTTCCCCAATGAGAAGCAGTGAAGAAGGGTAGCAGTCAAGCGACTCTGAATCTCAGAACATAGAACTGGCATGCAAGAGGCCAACTTCAAGTTTGACATACTCCTGGAGCATGGGAAATCATGAGCCTGGTATACTGTGTTCTTTGAGAAACAGAAATAGAAGAGAGCAAAGTGTGGGGCTAACAGCAGAAAGAGTTAAGCAAATGATCTCTTAGATATTATATCCTTTCTGGTCCTAGAATAATTAAGTATATAAGTCAAATCTCTGTCTCTCTGTCTCGTTCTCTTTTTCTGCCTCCCATTTCCCCACAGTATTCCAAACTGTAAGTCAATAAATACAATGGTCAAAGTAATGCCTATAGTCAAACCGAGAGTGTGGCTTTCTTTCCTCCCTTTCCCCTTTGAGCTTGGCTGTTATTTCCTCCTCTCTCGATACTCCTCTGTCTCTTGGTTTTGAGGAGAGAATTCTGGGCTGACCAGTGTAGCCGGACTAGAAGTTATTTGCCCTGCTGATATCATCTCCCTTGTGCCACAAAGATTCAAAACTAGAGAACTGGCTTCAGGGAGGACATTGAACTCAGAAGGCAAGACAGCCTCTGTTTTCTCCTTTCTGCCCAGGTAGTGCCAATCAATGAGAAGCCACAGCAATACCCCTTTGAAAGGCGCAGAGAGTATCTCTTTGATACTCTCCATGGTGGGGCTGGGGTGTCAGGCTGCTGCAGCCCGAGGGCGGGGGTAGTGGGGGGATGAACTATGGAGATGAGCTTATTGCACAGAGCTCTACTTGTTGTAGATCTTGTCCAGATGGGCCAACTGCACAAATCTGCCCTGTTGGAAGTCTCAAGAACAATGCCCTGGAGACAGCTACAGTACTGAGCAATGCAGCCTGCCCAACTGGGACGCAGATCAGGGCATCAGCTGGTGCTGGGAGTCAAGGAAGCCAAAGTACCAAGCAACATAATAGCCCAAAGGAGCTCACAAAGCTACTCAGAGGCAATGCCAGGTGGCAGGTACTCACCCTCATCATCCAATCTCCCCTGCAGAGAAGGGAGACAGAAGCAGGTGCAAATGGCTTTCATTCTCCTCCCCCTCTCCTCATATTCACAGCGGCTGAGGGGACACTGGGCCTCACAGTTCATAAGAAGCACCTGACACCTAGCAATCCACTGAATCATAGAAACTGTAAATGTGATTTCTTACCACAGTGAACTGGCAAGCAGGTGACGTAAGTGGCTAAATCGGAGGCCACTTTGATTTGTCATTGTTCTTGTCATACTCACCCCACCATAGACCCACACTACTTCCTGCCTGGATCTCACCTGAAGTGATTTGGGGATTTAAAACAGCATTTTCTTAAGAGGAAAAGCTTCCCACATAAAAAAGTGTTTTAATTCATTGTTAATATCTAATGTCAGTTAAATATTTTATACACATTTTTTTCCAGCAAAAAAGCTTTATTTATTCAATTGTTCAGGCTATCTGAACCTCTATCTTTCCTTAAGGTTGCTCTGCCTTTTGAAAAAACAGTGGCCTGTCTTCCTCTTTCCCTTCAGTCCACTAGCAGGGCCTCTTGGCTCTGCAGCGATCCACAACGCAAAGCAAAGCTCTCTAGAGGGAAAAAAATCTAATGACTAGAATTTATTCCTTTCACTTTCTCCCATGCACATTTTTCTCCACCTATTATCAAAAAACGCTCTTCCAGCTGAAATATGAAGCTGACTCTTGAAGATATTTTCTCTTTTACTGAGCCATGCAAATATCTCAGCTTGGTCCAGAACATATCACCTAATGGGACTTACATATATAGAGATGCTCCTTAGATCTCTACTCTCTCAAGTTATTGTAAGCAGCCTTGTAGCTATTATCATTCCTGGCCATCAAAATCTTGAATCTGATTTAATTTGTTAGGATTCAAGATCTTCCTTGGCTGCTGCGTTGATTAAAAAACAAACAAACCAAAAAAAAAAAAAAAACTCAATTAGGCAATTTTTAGTTCACCTACCTCCTGCCACTTAGCAACACAAAGTATGGGCATATATTATGAAAGTGTGCCTTCTCAATGAGCTTGTACACACACACACACACACACACACACACACACACACACACAAACATGTTAATTACTGGGTATAACAACCAAAGTTAAGATCACAAACCCTTCTATACTACATCATTGACTTAAGAATGATAATGTTCTGATTAAGCTTTCTAATAAGCTTTCTAGTAGTCCGAATATGAAGACAAGTATCAAGGTATATTTTAAAAATCAATCCTAAGATGAAAAGCCTAGCAGTGACAAATATAGTAGTGGGGCTTTTATGATACAACCATCCAAAGCCCTTGCCCCATGTGCTCTCTCTACTACAAAGTCAGGCATCTCTCAGGGATCTGCAATTAAGCTGTTCTTTCCCAGTCTAGCATTCTTTGCTATATCACACATTGCACGCTGTGATTATTGTGTATCCGGACTTGGCCAAGTACAGTCAGTTGGGAAGGGTTAAGCCAAGCTGAAGGAGAGTGTACATGCCAAGCCACACTCACAGGATATTCTCTCCATGGAAAAATGACAAAGTAAGTCAGCCATCATGATGCCACCTAAAGAGGCCACCTGAGGACTCAGCCATCGCCACTCCATTTGCTTAGCTCTGTTTTTCTGTCTGCTCTCACCACGGGGCTTTCCACAGGTGCCCTGGCTGCGAGATGCTGTATGGTGCAGTATCAGTGAAGCAGATGCTCTCACTCTCAATTCCTCAGACTCAGAGCAGATTCTTACCATCACCCAAAATCAGAGGACAGTTTGTCTCACAGAGCTGGAGCCAGGAAAATGTACAGTGACTCTCTTTTCACAGCCTGTGTTAAGACAGTGCAGTGGCTTTGGTTCCCCAGAGCCTGGGTTGGAATTACAATTCCAGCAGTTAGAAAAGCAGGGTTGTTTAGATAAACGACATCACCTCTCTTAGACTGTTTCCTCCTCTACTGGGTCATTTTGAGGCTCTGAAAACCCAGCACACAGCAATTACATGATGTTAAACAAATCACTGAACCTTTCTATTGTTCAATTTTCACATCTGTAAAATGGAGGTGATGCAGTTAGTGTTGTCCTACAGCAAGTTAGGCTGCCACCTGTCACGCCAGCATTCCATACGACCACCAGTTTGAGTCTCAACTACTTGAATTCCCATGTAGTTCCCTACTCATCTGTAGGGAAGCAACAGAAATGGCCCAAGTGCTTGGACCCCTGCCACCTATGAGAGACCTCGATGGTGTTCCAGGCTATTGGCTTCAGCCTGGTTCAGCCCTTGAACATCATAACCATTTGTAGTGAATTGAAAGTTGAAAGATTGTTGCATCACTCAGTCTTCCAGATAAATAAATCACTTACAATTTAAAAAATAAATAAATAAAGTACTAGGCCCGGCGCGGTAGCCTAGTGGGTAAAGTCCCTGCCTTGCACGTGTTGGGATCCCAGATGAGCGACAGTTCATAACCCGGCTGTTCCATTTCCCTTCCAGCTCCTTGCTTGTGGCTGGGAAAGCAGTTGAGGACAATTCAAAGCCTTGGGACCCTGCACCCATGTGCGAGACCTAGAAGAAGCTCCTGGCTCCTGGCTTCAGGTCAGCTCAGCTCCAGCTGTTGCAGCCACTTGGGGAGTGAACCAGTGGATAGAAGATCTTTCTCTCTGTATCTCCTTCTCTCTATATATGTCTTTCCATTAAAAATAAATAAATCTTAAAAAAAATAAAGAACTACAGTGAAGATAACACTATCTACCTTGTAGGGCTTTTTTTGGGGTTTTTTTGTTTGTTTGTTTTAGTTTTTATTTTCACTGGAAAGTCAGATATACAGAGAGGAGGTGAGACGGAGAGGAAGCTCTTCCGTCCAATGGTTCACTCCCCAAGTGGCTGCAAGGGCTGGAGCTGAGCCAAACTGAAGTCAGGAGCCAGGAGTATTTTCCGGGTCTCCCATATGGGTGCAGGGTCCCAAAGCTTTGGCCAAACCTCGACTGCTTTCCCAGGCCACAAGCAGGAAGCTGGATGGGAAGCAGGGCTGCTAGGATTAGAACCAGCACCCATATGTGATCTCGGCGTGTTCAAGGCGAGGACTTTAACCACTGCGCTATCGCACCGGGCCCCCTTGTGGGGGTTTTATAGGAACTAAATCAGATACAGTAGATGAAGTGTTTACCTCAGTACTTGGCACAGAGTCAGTGCTAGATAAAAGTTAGCTATTGACCACATAAATCATCATCATAGTGTCTTTTCTATACCCACCATTTTCCTAGCCTGATCTGTACTTTGAAGTTCCATTTTGTGTATCTTACCTTCCTGAGTCTTACACTGACAAAAGAAGGCCAAGCAAAAATCATCTCTCGTAATTTTCAGTCTCTCCACAGGCACTTGGTTCACCCTGCTGGCATTACAACATGCTTACCAACAATGTAACCAGAGGAAATTACTTAATCTGAGTCTCATCTTTTTCAGCTGGAGTCATGGGGAGAGAAAGGGGAGGAGGAGGGGCACCACCCACTCAAAACGAAAGAAGTAGGAACCACCATTCAGGCTCTGCACCTAGAGCAGCAGTTAATATGCCACTTGGGATGCCTACAGGCTATCCTAGGATGCCTGGGTTCCAATTACAACCTTGCTCCCAATTACCGTTTACTGCTAAAGCACACCCTGAGAGGCAGCAGGTGGTGGATGATTCAAACACACACAGGAAACAATTGTGTTCTTGGCTCCTGGTTTCAACATTACCCAACCCTGGCTGTTGCAGGCATTAGAGGAGAGACCCAACATGTCAGTCAGTTGGTGTCTCTCTCTCACTCACTCTATTATTTCAAATAGATAAATCTTCATGAAATGAAAAAAAAAATAATACCACATAAACTTGCAAATAGAGTTACCTACAAGGCATTACTGGAGAATATAAATCTGTCTGGATGCTGAGGTTAACAGTTTTAAAATCACTACAGGGGCCTGTGCAGTAACTCAACAGGCAAATCCTCTACCCACAAGTGCCAGCATCTCACATGGGCCCAGGTTTGTGTCCTAGCTGCTCCTCTTCCCATCTAGCTCCCTGCTTATCACCTGGGAGAGTAGAGCATGGTCCAAAGCCTTCAGACCTTGCACTCGCACAGGACACCAGGGGAGGTTTCTGGTGCCTGGCTTCAGAATCAGCTCAGCTCTGGCCATTAGGGCGATCTGGTGAGTGAACTAGTGGATAGAAGACCTTTTCTCTGTAAATCCCCTTTTTCAATAAAAAAATAATATTTTTAAAATACTAAAAAAATAATAACTCAAATAAAATGTGGAATCTGGTTACTTGAAAGGCAGAGAGAAATACTACCAGTGCCAGAGGCCAAAGGGAGGCACTTAAGGTCTAGGGAACAGCACCTGCAAAGGCACAGAGAACAAGACATAAGGGGTTGCTAGGATCACAGTGGATCAGCGCGGTCCAATGCAAGATGAATTTAGGGTCCTGAGGGCAGCTCATGAGGTGGTGGACAATTAGATTTCTTACAAGTCAATTTATGGGACTTGGGCTTTTGCAGAGGCGATAGGAAGCAATCCAAAGATTAAAAGCAGGGCGGGCACTGTGGTGTAGTAACTAAAGCTACCA